TAACTAATCAAATTCATTTTTTTTCCTACAGGCAACTGTAACCCAAATTCTAACTAAGGAAATCAGTAATACCCCATTCCTTTGGTTTTTAATTTTGTTTTGCTTTCCTCAAGCCACCAGGGGGCACAAGGTAATAGTCTCGGTGCTCTAATAGGCAAACTCTAACATGGGTGTGGAAGAAAGGGGAACCTTCCTGCAGGGCCTCCGTGAGTAACTACATCACATGAGTTAAGCCACCTCTCCAGACCAAGAGAGTTCAGATTTGGGGAAGAGAGAAAATAGAGTCCACGAGGGGCTGAAATGAAATCTAGAGTTCTGTATCTGCATCTTTAGAGTCCACATGTAGGATCCGTGTCAGGACTATACCCAGGTGAGAGTACAGGGTTCAGAAGAGGTAGCATGACTTGTATTAGTCTCACCATCTTTACTCTGAGGCTCACCATTCAGAAAGGAAGGGGACCTGTTTTATTTATACCCAATCCCCTAGGGATGAATAAAAGATAGAACATAGAGACTTCACTGATTGCAGGAGGCATTCAGGTTCATAAAAAAAGAAAACTTTAGACTATAACCATTGATAAAGACTGAGTGAAGTTACAAAATCTCATTGCCTGATGAATTTCTACAATAAAATAAACAACCATGCATTTGAATGGTTTAGATTACTTTCTGCTGACAGCCAAGAAGACAGAAACATAACCAATATTCTGAAATACTAAAATTTCATAATTTTTCCCATTACGATATTTTTAAAAAGAAAGCAATTCACATGCTTGTTGAGGGCTGCAGACTACTACCAGTTTTCTAGAAGAGCTCTGGATTTTTACAAATTATGTATTTCATCCTTTAATAATTAGGGGTTTTTTCTCTTTTAATACTACAGTATCACAGCCAGGTTTACTATAATTATTACAGCAATAAGACAGATTTTCAAAAAAGTAGTGTCTTATTTAAGCTTGGAATGAAATTTAAAAAGCATTAATAAATAGTTACCACGATCCAAACACTGAAGACTCTGTAAAAACATAAAATACAATGAATGAAAGCTCCTTTATGCCCATGTGCCAGCCTGTCTACACCCACCACACCTTCCAATAGAAACCCGTTTTCTACAACTACTACTACTTTAAAGAAGAATTGTTCTGGCACTCTGAAGAATGTCAGTGTATAAAAGTCAACCAGTTCCAGCTTGAAAACCTTTGTAGAAAATTTATTGTTGATTAAATGAATAGCTGTTGTACCGACATGGTAACACTGTGTCAAGTAATTAAGATGTAAAAAAAGAATCCTTTGGGGGGAATTACTAGGGCAAAGTAGATACTCTATAAAAGCTTTTTTAAGAATGAAGTTGGTAGTCATTGTTGAATTTGGGGGGATCATTCCCTCCCCCTTAGGCATTTTAACCCTGATTCAGGATTCACTTGTCCACAGATACGCTCTATTCTTTCTCTCTGCAATCCTTTAATCTATCTTCCCCCTATAAGACAACATATATTTTTAAAAACTCTTCTGTTTCTTACCGCATGGGAACCTAAATTCAAACCATTTGAGATGCCTACTGATTAAAGTAAGTACAACGTAACCAATCAGATACACCTTCTGCACAGGACAAGCCCTTCAAACAAGCTAGGCAGACAACAAAGAACATGGGCTCACTGAGTTCACCTAATACATGTAATTAACATGAATAAAGTCAGCCCTATGATTTATTCATTACTTATTTCCATTTAAAGTGAATTTGCAAAAATGCTCCTGTCAGAAAAATTACTATCAAAACTCAAATTGTCATCGTGTATCAAGGACATCTCAGAATGGAAGAATGAATGCCTACTCCTCAGGGTTGCTTCCTCCCCACACAAACTGCCTGGGGCACAAATCACTCAGGGAGACTACCAGCTGTTGGGGAAACACACATCCTCCGTCACCGTCCCATTACTTAAGGGTACAATGGGCTCTTTAAGCACTAAAACAAAACAAACTTACTAGAATATAAAGATAAATTACTGGCATTTGCCTGCTTCTGATGTTATGATCCGTGATAATTAGTTTTATGTGTCAATTTGGCTGAACCACAGCGCCCAGATATTTGGTCTAATATTATTCTGGATATTTCTGTGAAGGTGTCTTTTGGATGAGATTAACATTTAAATCACTGAACCTTGAATAAAAGCAGATTGCCCTCTATAAGGCAGATGATCCTCATCCAATCAGTGGAAGGCTTTAATAGAACAGAGGCGACCTGGCCCAAGCAAGAAAGGATTCTGTCAGCAGACTGCCTCTGGATTTGAACTGCAACTCTTCCCTACGTCTCCAGCAACTAGTCTACCCCAAACCTACACAATCATGTGAGCCAGTTCCCCAAATCAATCTCTCTCTCAACACACACACACACACACACACACAAACACATGCACACACTCCATCCTGTTGACTATTTCTCTGGAGAACTCTGACCAATACATTATCCAAAAGAAAAACAAGACTTCGCCTTGAAGTTTTTTTAAGAAGGCATATGATTTGTTTGAAGATCAATAATCAATATTAACTAAATCAACAATGAGTGTTGCTAGTCAGATACCAGATGTGGAAACTTAGTTCTTCACCAGTTTCTATAATTTTCCCAAACACTGGTAAGAGACATTGCTTTATCCACAGAAGAGAAAGTTAAATTTGTTAAAAAAAAAAAAGTGCTTGAGACTAAAGGTCAAGATACAAATTTAAATATTTATCAGCATCTTTGCAGATGTACAAAAATAAGTCAGCACATACAGAGACACACACAAATATGCACAGCTCCACATTCCTTAGAAAATTAATAAATAATAAAATAAAGGTGCAATGACTGATTATCCTTAATAAATTATTACTGATTAATCATTATTTGCATTACCTTTCTCAATTTCTCATAAGAAAGAAGAACAGTAACAAGAAGGACTGAGGTACAATAAGCAATATATTTGGTCTTTGGCCCTGGTTCCTGGCACAACGTTCCTAAAACCCTTGGGATTTCCTGAGTGAAAGCAGTGTCTTCATTCAGAAGGAGCCCCTTTTGAGCACACCAGAGCTAATGAGGTGACTTAGGGCCCCTAAATAGCCTCAGGACAGGTCTGGTCACTAGAGAGACAAGTGATTAGAGGGTTGGAATTTTCAACCACACCCACAGATCTCTTGGAAGGGCAAGAGGGGCTACATATTAGGCTCTATAAAAACTCCTGAAACAGGGCGCCTGGGTGGCTCAGTTGGTTGGGCGACTGCCTTCGGCTCAGGTCATGATCCTGGAGTCCCGGGATCGAGTCCCGCATCGGGCTCCCTGCTCGGCAGGGAGTCTGCTTCTCCCTCTCCCACTCCCCGTTTGTGTTCCCTCTCTCGCTGTGTCTTTCTCTGTCAAATAAATAAATAAAATCTTTAAAAAAAAAAAAAAAAAGAAAACTTATTAAAAAAAAAACTCCTGAAACAGTAAGAGTTGATGAGCTTCCAGGCTGGTGAGAGCCTCCATGTGCCAGGAGGGTGATGCACTCCAGGTCCATTGGGACAGAAGCTCCGTGCTTGCAGACTTTGCCCCATGTTACCTCTTCATCTGGCCATCCATCTGAATCCTCGGTAAAACCCTCTATAATAAACTGGTAAGTGTAAATAAATGTTTCTCTGAGTTCTGTGAGCCACTCCAGTAAATATGAACAGGAGATAGTGGGAACCTCCAGTTTACAGCCAGTCAGTCAGAAGCACAGGTAACAACCCGGACTTGAGATCGGGGTCTGACGTGGGGCAGTCTCACAGGACTGAACCCTTACCCTGTGAGGTCTGGTGCTACCTCCAGATAGTGTTACAACTGAATTAAATTTATAGACCACCCAGCCAGTGTCTACTGAGAACTGAAGATCTACTTGGTGTGTTTAAACACACAAACACACACGTGCGCACGCATGTACACACATGCACACTTATCAGAAGCACTTTAATCTCAAGAAGCAGTGACCTGACAATTTCTTCACATAAAAGAATCACCTGATTTTCAAAATGATAATTACTGGGGTTTATAAAGACTCCCACATATGAAGTTAGCACCACAAGAGTGTCTATATCAACACAACCTTGGTTAAAATTCATGTTTTATTGTTGCATAGCAAAGAAAAGGAAAATAAAGGAGAGAAGGACTTCCAAGTGGTAGGTGGAGACAGACACACAGATCTCACAGGGAACCTAACAAATACCAGTTCAGGATATGCAGCTATCATGTTACAAAGCCAACACTTTTAATTCTACCATATCTATCTATGGCAATGGGCCTCAAAGCATGGTCTCCAGTTCAACAACATCACCACCACCTGCAAAGCTGTAGAAATACACATCCTTGGGCCCCACCTCCAGACCTACTGAACCAATCTCTGGAAAAGGAAGCCAGGAATCTGTTTTAACAAGCCTTCCAGATGATTCTGACACACACTAAAGCCCGAGAACCAGTAACCTCCAGTAAAGTCAAATACCTTTAAGTATGAAACAGAACTGAATCAGGAAATTCTAGAAACTGAATGGCAGAATTTTCACATCACTATGGATCACGTGATACTAATAGAATCCCTCCTTTTTGTAAGTCATTTATTCAAAAATGCTTTCCCACTACATAACGGATAATATTTAAGATTTTTCCAATGATCTAAACTTTTCTGCCCATTAAGCTGCTTTGTGCTTACCAAGACAGAACAATATCAAAAGTTTTTAGGAAGGATGATGATACACTCCCAGGCAAATTTATAGGCTGAGTGTACCAAATTCTAAATTGCTAAGCTTTGAATTAAACTTTTTTAGTTCTTCCATCATATGGGATATGAAAGTTGTCAGTAGAAAGAAAAAGGGCCAAAATATATATAATATTTCTATGAAGTTTTCACTTCCCTATATGAAAATTTGCCAGTGGGGACAAAAATCCTGTCAAAGAGGCAATTCCTCAGCCAATTTAATTCACGCTAATTAGCATTCCTTTGTAGAGGGTAGATAAATACCTTTAAACTGCTTAATCATGTTCTGATGGTTTTCAATGGCTTCCTTTAAGATCATTTCAGGCTGGTCCATCTTCCACCTCCATTCGGTGCCCACTGGATTTGTGTGGTGCCTGAGAACAAGAGGCAAAAGTTCTAAAGGACTCTGTAATAACATCTCAGCTAGTCATCTACTGTGCAGTAGTGGTAAAATCATAAAATCAAAGTAGTAAAACCATAAAGTCATAAAATCAGAGTTGGTTTCCCCCGAAGAGTTTAGCTATTTATAGCAGTGTTTTCTGGCTTAAGTCATGATATCTAGCAGAGAAGGTTAGATGGAGAAGTGCCTGGCTAAGGTTGGGGTTTAATTAGAACAATAAGAAACGTGCAAACTTTTCTTCCAGTCACCCACTTCCAGGCTAACAAGCATCCATTAATGACTAAGAGAATATTTCTGGAAGAGTTGCAAAATCACAGTAATTGGCCCTCCCTGAGAGACAGCACAGTGGGAACACCTGAAGTTTAGGATGGATGAGGCACTGAGAAAAAAAATTCTGTCAAACCAGCCCCCATGCCACACTTAAGGTATCCTCTAATGGAATTTTAAGCCAGTGGTATAATGAGAGTAAGCACAGAAACAACAAATCTCAACTCAAGCCCAGCTCCTGACTCATTAACCTAAACTCCAAAAAGAAAAGTCCAAGCAGAAAGGAAAGGTATACTGATTTCCAAACACAAAAAAACACTCACCTCAGTCTCTAATATAATAAGAAGTCTGACTTTAAACAACAAAAAAATATGAGGCATAGAAAAACAACACATTTCCAACAGACAAAGCAGTCAGCAGAAGCAAACTCTTAACACAAGTGTTGAAAGTATTTGACAGGGAATTTTGAAAACAATGATTAATACGTTAAAAGCCCTAATAGAAAAGGTGGGTAATATGCAAGATCAGATGGGTAAATTCAGCAGAGAGATGGAAATTATAACACACAATCAAAGAGAAATGCTAAATATGAAAGAACAGGCTTTTGACAGGTTCAGCAATAACTAGTAAAGCTGAGGAAAGAGTAAAAAAAAATTTGGGAGATCAGTGTAAATAAGCGACCTAAAACACAAAGTTTTCTTTTTTAAGTGGAAAAAAAGGGACACCGCATCCAAGAGCTGTGGGACAACACAAATAGGCCCAAAATATACATACTTGGAATCCCAGAAAGAAAGCAGAGATAACAAAGCAGAAGAAATAGTAAAAAATGATAGCTAACAATTTTTCACAGGTAATGAAAAACCACCAGAGATCCAAGAAGCTCACAGAACCACCAGGACATTTGAAAAATTAAAAACAGCCTAAAAATATCATATCCAAATGATGAAAACAGAAGGTACTGATAAAATCTTTAAGAGAAAAAACACATTACATAAGAACAAAGATTAAAAATTACATCTGACAACTCATCAGAAAACAAGCCAGCTGAAACTATGACACCTGAGAAGCATGCTTAAAAGAAACAAAACTCATCAACCAGAATTCTATACCCCATATTTTCCAGAAATGGAAAATAAAGGCTTTTGCACACAAAATCTAAGAGATTTCCTCCTCAGCAAACCTACATTACAAGATATGTTAAAGGGAATTGCTCAGACTAAAGAAACATACATATGGTAGATAGACACCTGAATCTGTACAAAGAAATAATGAGCACTGGAAAAGGGGGGGAAAGGAGAAAAATCATATTTACCTTTTTTACCTTTAATTGCTCTAAAAATGGTAGAGGGGAATAAGAAATATACTGTTGTGAAATCCTTATACTACACATGAAGTGGTATATTATTTGAAGTGGTGTACTATTTGACTCTGGTTATGTATACTGTAAACCCTAGGAGAATCTCTAAAATATTTTAAAGGTATATAAAGAATAAGCCAAGACTGAGCATAAAATAAAATCATTTAAAATACTCAATTAACATGAGAGCAGGCAGAAAAATAAAAAACAACACAGAGAATAGAAAACAGCAAGATGTAGAATTTAATCAAACCATACCAATAATCACTTTCAGTATAAATGGTTTAAACACACCAGTTAAAAGATATGATTGGGTTAAAACACAAGACCTGAAAAAAAAAATGGGGTGCCAGGGTGCTCTGTGAGTTAAGCATCTGACTCTTGGTTTTGGCTCAGGTCATGATCTCAGCATCCTGGGATCGAGCCCTGCATCGGGCTCCATGCTCAGCTTGGAGTCTGCTTGGGGATTCTCTCCTTATGCTCCTCCCCCCCACTCCCTCTTTCTCTCTCTCTCCAATAAATAAATAAATCTTAAAACACACACACACACACACACAAGACCTACCTATATGGGGCCGGCATTACTCTAATACAAAAACCATATTAAGATGTTACAAAGAAAGAAAACTACAGACCCATACCTTCCATGAACACAGAGACAGAAACCTAAAACAAACAAACAAACAAACAAAAACCCTATAAGCAAACTGAATGCAGGAACACATGAAAAGGAAAATGTGTCACAACCAAGTAGTTTATCTCAGAAATACAAGGCTGGGTCAGTATGCAAAAATCAATCACTCTATCTTACCATTTTAACAGAATGAAGAACAAATGATCATCTGAATAGAAGTATCTAATAAAATTCAACATCCAAAAAAAAAAAGAAAAATTCAACATCCATTCATGACAAAAACTCTCAGTAAATTAAAAATAAAAGGGAATTTCTTTGATTTTATGAAGGGATCCAAAAAAAAAAAAAAACCTCCTCACAGCTACCATCAGACTTAATGGTGAAAGAATGAATGTTTTCCTCTTAATGTCTGAAACATTGTAAAAATGTCCTTTCTAACTACTCCTATATAGCATATAAGTCCTAGTCAGTGAAATGAAGCCAGAAAAGGGAATAAAACTCTCTCTTCACAAACGACATGTTCGTCTACATAAAAATTCAAAAGAATCTACAAAAAATAGACTGGAACTAATGAGAACTAGTAAGGGAACCTAACAAGTACATGAGATACATGATCAATATACAAAAATCAACTGTCTTTGTTATATGCAAGAATGTGTGGTATTGGCCAAAGAGAGACACACAGATCAACAAAACAAATGAAACCAGAAATATACCCAACATATATTATCAATTGAGTTTTGACAAAAGGTGCAAAGGCAATTCAAGGGAGAAAGGATAATCATTTCAATAAATGGTGCTAGAACTGGATATCCAAAAGCCAAACAAAACAAAAGATCTTCTGTCCCTACCTTGAACATCATCTGATAGCATGTACCAACACTTTAAAAAGAACAGTAATGGAAAATCTGGCAAAATCTCAACAGTCTCCAGTTTAATTAATAGTATTTTATCTATTGCAATTAATAAGAAATGTTAATTTCTTGGTTGTCATAACTGTCCCATCATAAAGTAAGATATTAACATTAAGGAGGTGAATGAAGGGTATACCAGAACTCTCTATACGACCTTTACAACCTGTCACATAAGGAAAGGTTTCCTTTTCTTAAAACACTAAACCTTGTTGGAAACATAGGAAAGAAGTATTCATATTCACATACTGAAGTATAAATTGATATAATCTGTGTCCAAAATATATAATAAAAATGCAAAAACATTTGTACAGTGGAGTACTAATTACACAGCCAGCTATAATAACAAACAAACAAAAAAACACCTATCTTGATGAGCACTGAGTAATGTACAAAATGAATCACTTGGGGCACCTGGATGACTGTCCATACTTCCAACCCTTGATTTCCACTCAGGTCATGATCTCAGGGTTGTGAGATCAAGCCCCGCTACAGGCTCCATGCTGCGTGTAATGCCTGCTTAAATTCTCTCTCTCCTTCTCCCCCCACACTCACACTCACTCTAACAACAACAAAAAAAAATTGTACACATGAAACTAATATAACACTATACGTTCATTATACTTCAATTTTAAAAAAGAAAAAATTATATTTACAAAAATTAAACCCATCCTTTTTTTTTAAGATTTTATTTATTTATTTGACAGAGAGAGAGACAGCGAGAGAGGGAACACAAGCAGGGGGAGTGGGAGAGGGAGAAGCAGGCTTCCCGCTGAGCAGGGAGCCCGATGCGGGGCTCAATCCGAGGACCCTGAAATCATGACCTGAGGTGAAGGCAGACGCTTAACGACTAAGCCACCCAGGCGCCCCAAAATTAAACCCATCTTGACCATGATCTTTTGTTGTTGTTTTTTGATGCCCAGAGGGGGGCCATGTAGCATAGGGAGAGGGAGAGACAGAATCTTAAGCAGGCTCCACCTCAGCATGGAGCCCCATGGGCTCGATCTCACCACCTTGACATCATGATCTTGGCTGAAATCAAGAGTCTGATGCTTAAATGACTGAGCCACTCAGGTGCCCCTGGACTCTGTATTTTAATGTATTGTTTAGGATTTTACACCCATTGCTAATGAGTGAAAATGCACTGCAATTTTTGTTTTTCATGCTGTTCTCTGGGCTGGTATCAAGGTTACACTAGTTTCTTAAAATTAGTTTACAAGTGTTCCCTTTTTCTTTGCTTTCTGGAGAATTCCTTTTCCTTGAATGTTTGCTAGAACTTACTTATAAAACCATGTAGGTCTGGTTTCTTTTTGATAATGGTTTGTAACTACTGATTCCATTACTACAATGATTACAAAAGTACTCACGATGACATCCTTCTTGAATTACTTTTGAAAAATCTAAATTTACAAGGAATTTAGAAACTGGGAACAGGCTAATGATTTCCAGGGATTAGGAACGGGAGGGCAAAGGAGTAGGTGTGGCTATCAAGGGGTAACAAAAAGGAGCCTTTTGGTGATGGAAAAAGTCTGTATTTTGATTGTGGTTTTAGATATGCAATTCTAAACATATGATAAAATTGTACAGAACTGTATACATACACCCACCACACAAATGAGTGCATTTAAAACTGATGAAATCTGAATAAACTCCGTAGATTTTTTAAAATAAATAAACAAGGAATTTAATTTTTCCAAATTTTCAAATATTCATTAAATAAACAAATACTAATTAAAAGATTAAATCTTTGAGGCAGCTATAATTATATATCCTCTTTCATTAGTTAATATTGTTTATTCCCTCTC